GCATCCCTATTGCTCTGTCCCTGGTCCCAGTTGTTACTCTCTCCCAGTTTTCATAGTCATCAGACTAAAGCTGATCTATTCTTGGTCTTTTAAAATTTGATGAGAATTTCCATATTGAAATACAGAATGAACATAATAAGAGCAAATATTTTATTGAGGCAATTGTTTCAGATTTATGTGGATAGGCAATTTAAAATGTTTGGTTGTGACATAATTTCAACTCTGTTAATATATATTAAGTCCTTTTGAGGATGGTAGTGGTGATCATTTAATGCTTTCATTCTTATTTTCATATTATATAAAATAAAAAGTATAAATATCTTTATGAATCTTTATTTTCTTTCACATTTTCTTAGAACATTATGGTGCTGAACAGATGGTTCAGTGGTTAAGAACACTGATGGCTCATGCAGAGGGTCAGTTTGATTTCCAAACACCCACATCAGGTGATTCACAACCATCTGTGATTCCAACCCTAGGGTATCCAGAATCCTCTTCTGGTCTCTGTGGTCACTTCTGTGTGTATGTACATCAATACACAGTCACATACACATAAATAAAAATGAAATCAATCAATATAAGAAGAAATAATTACTCTCACATTATAACACTATAGGAAAAATACCATCTACTCAAAATTTAAATAAAGAAAAATAAAAAACAGTATATGGTGTTGTTTCTACTTAAGTCTTACTTACTTGGTTTGCCTGTAAACCACTGCTAATAAAGCCATTGCGTTAGCTCAGCTTCCTCAGTAACCTTCCCTTGCTGATGCTTCATGAGGATGTGAACACAAGGACCAGAAAACATGAACAACTCATGTCAAGTAGAGCCTTTCTTCATGAAAATGCAAGCCTTTCCTTTTATATATGCAAACATGAACAGGAAGAATGAAGCTTGTGGGTCTCTGACAGTCACCCTAGCATTACCGATTGCAGGTCTTAAATCATCGTTCTTCATTTATTCATTGCTGTATGGTTTCTGGTTTTGCTTGAATTATAAATGCGTGAGAAAAATTGATCTAAAAGTAAGCATAAGAATAAGAAAAAAGGCTGGGCAGTGGTGTGCATGCCTTTAATCCCAGCACTAAGGAGGCAGAAGGAGGTGGATCTCTGTGAGTTCCAGGACAGCTAGGGCTGTTAACAGAGAAACTGTCAAGAAAGAAAGAAAGAGAAAGAAAGAAAGAAAGAAAGAAAGAAAGAAAGAAAGAAAGAAAGAAAGAAAGAAAGAAAGAAAGAAAGAAAGAAAGAGAAAGAGAGAGAAAGAAAGAGAGAAAGAAAGAGAGGAAGAAAGGAAGAAGAATAAAAAGAATCAACCAGCCGGGCGTGGTGGCGCACGCCTTTAATCCCAGCACTTGGGAGGCAGAGGCAGGCGGATCTTTGTGAGTTCGAGGCCAGCCTGGGCTACCAAGTGAGCTCCAGGAAAGGCGCAAAGCTACACAGAGAAACCCTGTCTCGAAAAACCAAAAAAAAAAAAAAAAGAATCAACCAAATAGAAAATGATCTAACATAATCATCAAGGACAAGCAAAAATTGTTATTGTGGGAAGATCAATAAATTTGATAGATGTCTAGGCAGAGTGATTAGAAAAGCAGAAGTTCTCAAATTACCAATATCAGGAATGAGTGAGGATCTTCATTTACAATTCTACATTTAAAGGCTTATTAAGAACGATTTTATCACAAGTAAACTTTATAATTTAGAAAATGCATAAATGATGTTACAGACACAAACTACCTCAATTTACTCAATATAAAATAGATGGGGCCAGTGAGATGGCCTAGTGGATAAAGCTCTTCTCACTCAAGAGTGATGACCTGAGTTCAAGCCCCAGAACCCCTATGTGAAGGTGGAGGAGAAACTGACTCCATGAAGTTGTCTTCTGCCCTCCACATGCACCCGGAAACATGTGCAACCTTACCACATAAGGGTAAATAAAATTCAGATAAAAAAGGAGATAAAGATGACCTGCACATCCATAAGAAAGTGATGAGACTGAGTATCGCTTTATAAAGTTTTTTCACTTTTATGAATATTCTTATGTCTTGTTCATTTTTCTTGTCAGCTGTCAGTATTTCTGCTTTTTGTTTACTTTTTTGTGTACATAATTGCTTTCCACTTTTAGACATTGCAAAAAAAACCCCTTATTTTCTGTTGGTTAGTTTCATGTATGGAGTCCTTTAATGAGAATACTAATTCGTTTTCAGATATTTTTCCCTTGTGGATATTACATTTTGAAGGATTATTTAAATCTTTCCATATCCCTAGATAAAACACCACTCTCTTGTGTTTTCATAGGTCCTCTGTTTCGCCTTTAGGTATGGATATTAGATCCTCTGCTCTCCAGTTTGCTTGGCTTAGTAAAGCTATTCTTCATTGATCAACTTTTTCTTGAACAAATACTCATTCTTCCATCTTTAACATCTGCTGGATGTGGGTCATTCATCTTCCTTGTCTCCCTGTTGTTCTTATGGTATGCATTTGAGACAATACAATTTGTAAACTGGCTTCTATTATCTGCTATTATTAACCCATTTGCTGCTTGAATTTTCATTGCTTAGCAGATCATTCCCTTATAAGGCCGGGAGAGAATTCCAATGGCTAGACAAACCACAGTTCAGCCATTCATCTACTGAGGGGTGACTCATTTGTTCCCACATTTTGGCCATCATGAATAAAACTTATTTACCTCCATGTGTATGTTGTTTTTATGGGCTTTTGTTTGTTGTTTGTTTTTAACTTTAAGTTTTCAGTTCTTTTGGGTAAATGCAAGGGATTTTGATGGCTGTGTTGGATGATAAGATCATCTAATTTTATAAAAGAAACCACCAAAACCTTTTAAAAAATAGTGTTCCCATTTTGCATTCCCACCAGCAATGGATGAGCTGAATGAATAGTTCTTACTGCACATCTTTGCCAGCATTTGATAGTCTTGTCATTGCAGACTTTGGCCATTGTGCTAGGTGCAGGGATATTTTGGCTTGGGGCACTCTAACAGCTGTTGGTTGGTGGTAGCTCATTTTGTGCCCACCTCCATGTTGGGATTTTGTCTGACTTGAGCACACACAAGTCTTGTGCATGATGTCACAACTATTGATAGTTTGTATATATAATTGCCCCGTTGTGTCCAGAAAACAGTGTTTCCTTATAGTCACCCACTGTCCCTGGATCACAATTGGTCCTCTTCCTGTTCTGTAGTGATTCTTGAGACTCGGGAGTAGAGGGTATGATATTTCTATTTAAGGCTGAGTACTCTTCAGTTGCTTATTTGCTGCACTGTGACCAGTTGTGGGTCTCTGTATCAATCACTATCTACCATGAAAGGGAATTTCTCTTGGGAACCTTGAGGGATGCAATAATCTGTGGGATAAGGATGTAAGTTGTTAGGCAGCAGAGGAATAGTAGTAGGTTCTCCCCTAAGGCCTCTACTCTGTTTAGCCATAGGTTCTGGGTCCCAATAATCCTATTAGTTCCATCTTATGCAGCTGGCCTTAACCCAATCAGAAAGTTGGTCACTTGCATGACCTTAAGCTCTTATATTCCTTCCTCTACCCTACCCTTCCATCCTCCATCCTGTTTAACCCTTCTTATTCTATATCCTCCTTTCCCTTTTATATTTGTCCTTGTAGGTATGTATAATTTGACCCTGAATTATCGTTTCAGACTCTATTTACTTGTGAATTTAATATGTTTCCTTTTCCTAAACAGCTAAATAATTTTCTACTATATATATGTACCACATTTTCAGTATCCATTCAGCTGTTGATGGACATCTAGAATTATTATTTACAATTTTCTTAGGTTTTTTTTCACATACATGTGTTATACATAGTAATTATTCTTACTCTCCCACCCCATCTCATCTGCCCTGTTTCTTCCCATGAATCTCTCTCTGTCATGTTCATATCATTCATTTTATTTGTGTTCCACTGAGATTAGCCAAGGGCATTTGTGTAACTAAGTGTTTGGAGCGATCAACTGGATCCTAGTGTGTTCAGGAGGGAGCATAAACGAAGGACAATAATTTCCTGTCCCAGAATCTATCAATAGGCTATGGTTTGACAATAAAGAGTAGGGTCCCACAAGTTCCTCCCACTTGCTGGAGTGACTGTTTATAGGGCTAGTCTTGTGTGGGCCCAAGACAAATCATGACAGCTGTTGTGCATTGATGACTGCCGTGCTGTGCCCACTCTACAGGATGGCATTTCATGGCCCTTCATCCTGTCTTCTGGCTTTTACATACTTCCTGCCTCCTCTTCCATAATGTTCCTGAACCATAGAAGGGGAGTGTTAATATCTTTCTTAAGGCTGGACTCACATGTGTCACTCACTTTTCATATCCTTGCAAGTCCCTGAATTCACTGCCATTCATGGTCACTGAAGTTTAAAGTTTTTTGTGTATATTAGAATATATTTAGATATACACTTTGCAAATATTTTCTCTCAGTCTATGGCTTCACGTTTTACTATTTTTCCTGTGTCTTACACAGAGCAGAAATGTTTATTTTAAATGAAATGAAGAATATGAATTTCTTTCCTGGATTATGGTCATTGGTATTCTTCTTAAACTGTCATCCTCCAATTCTGGGCCATCAAAATCTTCTCCTATGTTATCTTGAAGAAGATGCCTTATTTTACATTTTATATTTATATCTGTGATTATGAAATTGTTGATTTGTTTACATCACTTCTTACTCCAAGTTGAATTTTATTTCCCCATTTGTTTTGGTATCTGTGTTTTATGTATGAAGATTGTGTTCCATGTTTGCTGACCACTGGTTCAAGAACAATACATTCATGGTGGCTTTGTGCAATACAGTAGTAATATAAGCAAACATTGTTTTGATTGTGGCATCCCAAGTGGTAGTACTTACAGGTCATCCTTTGAGGACTATGCTTCCTCCTGGAACTTCGAGAAACAAGCCTGGTTTCTGGTGTCCAAGAGCTTAAAGAGTTTGTCTGGGTAAGAAGAGCTCTCTTGTTTATAGAGTGTCACTTTTTCATTTTGTCTATAATCCAGAACCAAAACCCATTTTCCTGTGAAAGGAAGTCTCTGAGTGCAGAGCCTCTAGAGTTCAATTTATTCAGAAGACAAGTCATACAACTTTCCCATGAATGAGAAGATGAAAAAGAACTAGGACTCACAAACCTAACTGCGTCTTCAGCTCTGGTTTTTGGCCTTGACCTGAATCGGTCGTGTAAGTTTTCTTCTTAGTGTTCCTCTTCCACTGTCACCCCACTTTTCTGTCTCTGAAGTTGCGGATTGGAATCACAGGGGTCTCCTGCTTTCATCAGCTGGTAGAGTTAGAGCATGGATCTTTCTGTTTTGACACTTTTACCTCGCTGTAATAAATTTAAAAGGCAGAGAAGAATTGTATTCATCTTGTGCTGAAATAAGAATGGAAAAATTACATGTAAGTTTCAGATTGAATAGCCATGATGACATATATGGACATATAGTAAAAATAATTGAGTTAAACTAATATGCTACCAATATTAACACTGTGCAAGAAAACTGAATTCCATTCTTGAAGGAAGAAATAATAGGTTAAGACTATAACAATTGACATTGGTGATTACCACTGTGAATAAACATACAGAAGATAGGAGAAAAAATAAGGTGAAAGGATTTTAATGGAGGTATCTTCTTAGCACTTCTGTTTTTAATATTCTTTTAACATGGAAGCAGATGAATTCCTGAAAACAGAAACCCACCCAGGAATAAGACAAAACATGGAATGGTGAGCAGGGGTCATAATTACCTCATCAGCCATTTCTCTCCTCCTGTCTTTCTACCCTTAGAGAACTGAAGAAATAAAGTTGTTTAATGAATGTGAGGTTTAAATACCCTTTGGAAATTTAAATTGCTATTGAAAATTGTGTGTAATGCAGTTACATTTCTTTGCTTATGGAGTGGGAGGAGAAAAAGAAAGGAACCCGGGGCTAATAGAAACAGATTACACCTCACCTATGGAACATAGATTAAAATAATGTATTTTATTGTGGCTCTCCCTTCAGAATTCAAACCAAATTTCATTTACTTTTTCTATTTAAGTAAGAACCTCGGGGCTCTTTTAAAAAATCATTATCAGGAGATAACCTAATACATCATTGATATAGTTTCTTCCTATGACAGTATCATTGACGAAATAGCATGTTGGCAATATCACCCTTTTATAGTTTCAAAATGATAAAATATAGAAGGGTTCCCAAAATGCAATTTTCCTCATAAAAATAGTAAGGATGGATTCTTTATTTTGTTGCTTTGTTTTATTGAAAGAGAAACAATATCGAATACATCCTAGCACATTGCTTTGAAAATGAATATTTAGTTACTCTACATGTTGATAATGTATTTTCTTTTTTTAATATCTTACAGTTATTTATCATGTAAAAGTAGCTTCACTTATAGGAGCTGTCCAGACTTAGGGCTTTCATTGAATGTAAATATCTGCAATGTAACTATTTGAGTAGCTATTTGAGAACAGCGTAAATGGCTTCTAAACCATATTTTCCATAGTGAGGAAGTGTGCTTTTCAATTATCAAAGCCATTCTGTTCTTTTCTGTGTGTTTGCTGCTTATATAGTTTGTTCATTTGAAAGTCTTCTATTAGTTTCTCTTTCTGAAAGAATTCATTTTTACTATGATGTAACTGCAAATATTTTTCTGTCTGCCATTGTATTTTGAATTTTCTTGTGGTCTTATATTTTACATTTGGGGTTAAAAACTATAAAAAGCTTTTTCCATTTCTTTTGGAGAGTTCTTTTCATGTCTTGTGTTTTTTAAAACATATTCTGAGAATAGACTTATCACATAATATTCAGAAAAGAATTTTATGATGTACACTTGAAACAAATTTCTTATCATTTTCTTATACCTTTTGCTGTAGAATTTTAAATTCTTATGAGCTTGTGTTCATATCTAAAATGGTCTTTTGCCCATGCTAATATCATAGGACTTTTCTTGGATTTCCTTTCAATAGTTTTGTGGTTTCTAGTCTTATGTTTAGTCTTTGGTCCCTGTTAAGTTGACCTTTTCCTGTACTGCAGGCAGAGGATGGGACCTTCTGTGTGCTGGGCAAGCACCCACCACTGAGATACTGATCTCCAGCCTTTTATTTCACTTCGTATATGATGTGAGGAGCAAGTTACACTATCTGACCTAACAGCAGTCTACAAAGTTATTGTAACGGAAACGCCATGCATGAGAGTAGACACATAGACCAAAGGAACAGACTATAAAGTGGAGGTCAGTCCATATGTGTGATCAACTGGTCTTTAGCCAAAATGTGAAGAACAGATAATAACACAATGGCATTTTCTTTAACAAATGCTGATCAAGCTAGAGGCCCATGCATGGAAGAATAAAGTTAGACAACATAATCTTGTTACACAATATGTGATTATCTATTCAGTTGTATGTTCCTGTATCACATTTTCTTTATTTGTTTGTGTGTTGATGAATATCTGGTTTGTTTCCTTCCCCTGTTGTTCATTTCTTTCACATAAGCTTTTTCATTTAATGTAACCCTTTTTGTCCCCTTTTGCTTTGATACAAATTTGAGGCAAGCCTTTGAAATCAGAATGTGATTATGCAATTAAAATGCACAAATGAGATATTGAAAGTTGAATAGTATTCTGGATAAACACAAAGTGTTTGTGTTTCTGCACCTACTTTATTTCATTTAGCATAATGTCTTCCTGGCTCATTCTTGTTTTTCCCAAAATAGACTTAAATATAAGCAAGACATGGCATTTTAAAGCCAAGAACGTCAAGTTTACAGTTTTGATTCCTAACAACTTTAAGGCATATCTTGATTTACAGCAAATTCTTTTTTCTTGTTTCATTTCATTTCAACTTACTATTTTTTCCTACCCTTCATTTTAACTTATATCAAAATATTATACTTAAAATAAGAATATTAATATTTTTCTTTTGTATTTGATCATTTTTTCTCTATATCAAATGGGTCTTCACTCAGATCTGTGTGAATCTGCACGTGATTTTATTTATTAAGTGACTATATTTTCCTTGGTAGGTTATTTCTATAGTCTCTTCATTGAGATCATACTTTTTATCAGAAAAATCTGTGTGCATTTTATTCCATTGTCTGCATTCTACACAACACAGACACAAGCTCACACTTTACTGCAATAAAGTGTTTAAAATTAGCATACTGCATGGCATATACTTAAGTTAATATTCCTTAAAATGTGAAAACAGTTGTGTGTGTCCTGAGGTTACCCTCCAACAGTTTGGTTCTTCTGGTCAGATCCTGTGTGATAATCGATGTCGCCGCTCTTCTAAAATCTGCCCTAGACCTATACCTCTGCCATTGTAACTCTTAATATCTACCTTTCCTTAGTTTGTTCTGTTAATTTTTTTTAGGTCTCTGGATATGCACCACATGTGTGCCCTCAACTCCTTCTTCTAGCTTTATTAAAAGGCATCTGGGGACAATTTTGAAAAACTACAAAAGAATAAACCAATTAAGTATTCTGTCTTGTTCCTCTTTTGAGGGTAAATGAAGGGAATACAATGAAATGCATTGTAAGTGTTTTACATGGTTTGTCTTCTGAAGGATATGTGGGTGGTATTTTTCAGGTGAGATTTAAGAAATTTCCTTTTCAAACATTTTGAGTGCAAAACATGGGATCATACAATTAATAATCACGAGTCAAAATTTTATTAGTTTCTCACACTGATGCCTGTGATCAAATGGATATAAATATGTTGGCACCTGGAAAACAACAGAAAAAATGATCTCCACATTCACACTCTCTATTTACTTCCTCAAAGCATCACACTAAGAAGTTCTAGAAATTAAAAATGTACAACAGATGAATTCATATACAAGCCTAGCTGTTCTTTCAAAAATCATTCTTTGGTGAGAAAAAGATGTTATTTGATGAAAAATTAGTGGAAGTGCTGTGATATAGATAATATTAAATGCTAATATTTAAGATTTTTTTCATTCTGCAGAGATTTAATTTGTCAGTCTGCGTGATATGTTATGTGCTAGGAACCAAGAGATGAGAGTTCTCCTGAGTTCAGTTTTATAGTGAGGCCAAAACTGATGGAAAGGGTAAAGTCTATAAAACACCTCATCTTCACCATGTCCACAACTTGATATTTAGTATCTCACTAAACACAATAAGGTCAAGAAAACTTAGCACACAATACAGTTTTGTGTTTAAAGTAAAAGTCAGAAGGTGTAATATATTTGATCCTATTTTGGCAACAATAGGAATTTGGTTATTTTTCATTGAGTTTGTTTTCTTTTTTTTTTAATTAAGAAAAAAATTTTATTCGTTTTACATACCAATCAAAGACTCCCTTCTCTCCTCCTGCCCCTCTGGCCTCCTCCTCCCAACCCATGCCCATTCTGTCCTACAAGAAGGTAAGACCTCCCATGGGGAAGTACATTTAGTAGAGGCAGGTCCAAGTCTCTTGCCTTGCTTCAAGCTTATGAGAGGTGTTCCATCTTAGGTAATGGGCTCCAAAAAGGCTGCTCATGCACAAGGGATGGATCCTGATCCTATTGCCAGGGGGGCCCTTAAGCAGATTAAGCTACACAACTATCTCGATATGCGGAAGGCCTAGTTCAGTCCCACGCAGGCTCCACAGCTGTTGATCTAATTTTTATGAGATCCCCACTAGTTTGGTTTGGTTGTATCTGTAGGTTTCCCCATCATGATCTTGTTTCTTATAGATAATTTGAAAGACCCATAAAATGTACCTCTATAAACCGTATTCAACTTTAAGACATTTGCTATACATGGTTTAGTGTTTTCCCATCTGTAAACTGATGAAAATGTGACTACGACTATGACTCCCAGTAATGCTTTATTGCCCTTCAGTGCCATACACCTGCAAAGAATTTTAGATTTCTCATCTAGAGTCTCAAATAGTCAACAAATTAAACTATCAATTTTATCCCACAACAAAATAATAAGAGAAATATAAGTACTTGTTCTATGCCTGTCTTCTTTTGAACAGAATAACAACTGTAATCCTGGATGATGTTTTTCTGTATTTGTCTTAAAAAGAGGAAAAAAGAACAGCTGTCTTTTTAAGTCACCTGTGAATTATATAGATTTCAATTAAATATTAGTGTTTGTGCTCCTTTCAATGTAGAAAGTCAGCAAATAGATGCACCTTTAGGCTTGGGAAGACAATGTGCCAAGGAGGTTTTCAGAGGAAGGATTAAATCATTGTCAGTTCCATCACTTTTCCCACTGGTAACTACCAATAATTTTAAAGAGAAACAAGGGGAAATTTTTCACTTAAAAAGTGGACAGGCATAAGACTAGTATTTCTATTTGCACATTGGACTTCTTGCAGATTTAATCTAAACCACAAACTAGGTTTCAGGTTTCACTGATAT